CGTGTGCTTCACTGAGGCTGTGTGCATTCACAGGGCATTTATCAGTGGCATTATTAGCCACATTAGCCAAAAAAAGCAAATTGCCAATACAATCAATTTTCCTTATATCGGTGCTGATCCGATATGGGACTGATGTATCAGTGCACCTCCAATTTTGAATGGATGCATTCTTTGGGTGCAGACAGAAATGCAGCTCCCACCTGTAAGTCAGAACAATTTTTGCAAAGTGCTGAGTTACAATGTTATCCCAGACCAAACAGAAGTTCACTGTTGGTTCCAGGGGGGAGGGAAATCTAGCTGCTGGCTGCGAGCCTGCAGCCAGGCTCCCTTAACAATGGCCACAGCTCTCTGCCAGTGCTCACTGTTTTCAGAATGGGAGGGGGGAAAAGGCAGCAGAGGGATCTTATTCTTGGGGCTCCCCAGCTGGTACTGAAGGGTGGGGTGGGTGAATTGGTGTTACTTTAAATTGCCAATTGTTCAAATCAAGAGTGAGGCATTATAAAGAGGGATAAAGCAAAATGCTGTGTTTATTGATAACATGAAGCAGATACATAAACTTGGACACACCAGTCATACAAACAGACGTAGACAGACATGTAGACAAAACCACTCCAGTAAGATGTTATACTTACCAGCAGAAGTTATCACTGGATGGCCAATCCAGGATATGAGCGTGGGTATACAGACACGCCTGTGCTCCAGGAGGTTGCAAAGAGTGGATTCCCCATCTTGACTTGTCTGCATCTCACTTTTATAGGGATTTCAAGTCTTTGTTCAGCATTGGGGTTTTTCCATGCTCAGTTTTTAATTAGAGGTTATTTCTTCTGGTTATCTCAATTTGAGGTCATTCCAGTAAGGTTGGTATGTCGAGTGAGGTCATTCTAGTAAAGTTGGTATTTCTACCTTGAAGTATTGTATAGTTGATATCTCTGCCTTGAAGCATTGTGTAGTTCAAATGGCAGGATATGCAAAATTCTTTCTTCTTACTATCTTCTTTGCACCTGATCACAGACAAGTTCTTCAGCCATCCATTAATTAGCTTAATTAGTTTGCTGTCTGGTAACTCATACATTGGCGCCTTGTTGCTTACACAATCAGTTAAATCTTCTTCTGTTTTCATGCAAATAGTTACCATTCTTTAACCATTCACCCTCTCATACAGACACTCACGTACACAGGGCATACAAAGTTCATTTACTTATGTCAAGCAGGGAACAAATACAAATATTGAGTTTTATTTGTTCATACACTCATAGGGGTTTATCAATTCAATACTACTATTACTTAAGGATAATAATTAATGTGCAAAAATTCATACCAGAAGGACCAGTAAAGCAGTCTGGGGGTGTGACTGAGCCCTGTTGCCTGGACCTGTTCCAGGTTAGGGGTTGATGTTGGGGAAGTGAAGGGTCACCAAGTTGGCCACTGGTGACCAAGTGGGCAGAGTGTTAACTCCTAATGGAGGCTTCAGGCCAGCCCTGACCAGCCTAGGTGACAAACTACTGGGTAGCAGGCCAAGATGAGCAGCTGTGCTGCAGTCTGAGGCCCCTGGATTTGAGGACACAGCTTGACACATGGCAGGATGCATATTGTTTGGCATGGGCATAGAATTCCACTATGGAGCTGCCCCCAGCCCAGCCCTTCAGACCAGGCAGGGAGTGGCTCTGTCCCAAACTCCAGGGCTGCCCTGTTCCTGATCTCCATGCTCAGCTGAGTGAATTGGGGATGGGCAGCCTGGATTCTGGTTCAGGAGCTGGGGCTACCCAAGCACATTCCCAGAGATTCTGAAATGGGTTGAGGGTAGCTCTGGGACCTGCGGCTGTCTGGATCTAGTGCTGACAATCAGCTGATTATCTTCACTGCCTCAGCCAGACTGAAAGTCCAGTTTGAGACCTGGGACTGACGCAGGCAATTAGGTGATTTTGTTGCCCTGTGGGGTCAGGCCAGCTCTCAGGATCTCAATATTGCACTGTTAGACAGGAGGGTGTGACACAATTACACATATGTAAACACAAATTAATTAGGTGCGCATGCGCACGCACGCACGCGCTCACCCCCCTCCCCCAACAACTCAGGCACATACACATCCAAACCAGACTAGGCACATGCATACCTATCACCAATTCAAGCACATACACACTACACACACCAAAAATTAGACAAAAGTCAGTTGTCAATACCCACACACTCTGTACACATACATGGATCACTAATTCATATATCATGCACACGATGACATATATTCACCAGTTCTCACACACACCACCCACCTACATATACACACAGGTGAGCTCCTAATTTGAATGGTACAGTATTTATGTGTGTGTTTGGGGTACTTGGGATACCTGAGGGAAGGTTAAGGTGGGAGAGAAAGTGTAAGGAGTGAAAGTTGCTGGACCTGGGATTAGAACCGGTAGACTAGAGAGAATCTGGCTGAGGAACTGAGGCTTGGGGTTACTTAAGGTCAAGTGGCCCCTGGGTTACTCGAGGTCACTGGTGCAAGGGAAAAAGACCAGTGGCAAGGAGGAGACAGCCAGGAAATAAACTGAGGCAGAAACCTGGGAGCTTGGGACTGGAAACTGAGGCTGAAAGCTGGGAGCTTGGGGGGGCAGATAAGTGGTGGCAAGGAGGAAACAGTCAGAAAACAGACAAATATTGAACTTGGGCTTTCAAAATAACAGGTTTATTAAACAGACAACACACTACACAGCCCCATGAAGTTATTGGTTCACACACACGCACGCACACACACGCATGCACGCACATGCGCACACACACACAAGCTCTCACAATGGCAGCAGGAGAAAGAGACTCAGTGGAAGGGCTGGAGTCCAGGTAGGGAAGAGAAGCAGAGTCCAAGTCCTTGATTGAAGATGGGGTGGGTGGTGATAGCTACCTATCCAGGCTGGAAAGGGGTCCTTGTCCAGCAGGTGTTGTCCAGAGGGGGGTTGCCGGCAGGGCTTCTGGGTGGATAGGTGGTGTGGTGCTGGTCCAGATGGAGAGGGTGTCCTAAGGAGTCAGTATTCACTACCCCTTTTTATGGGGCAGACTACCTCTGATCCCCTATGGGTAGGGCCTGTTCGGGCAAGGTCAGTCCTGTTCCAGAGGGTTCCAAGTGTTCTTACTGAGCATGTGCAGCCTTGGCACAGTGGTGGGTTGCCTCATCTTTTGTTTCTTGAATGCTGAGGGTGGTTCCAAGGGCTGGGTCGTTGGTCCAGGTATTTGTTTTGATGGTTCGGTCATTCAGAGGGAGATATTTTTAGACATACTGTCATTGTCTCTCAAGCACCCTCATTCATCTCCATTTATTCAGGAACCAAGTTACATAGAAGGGGTAGGTATGAGTTATAGGTTACAACATACTTACACAACAGGGCATGGGGGCAAGATGGAGACTTGACAAACAAAATGGAAACTTGACATGACTTATGCTAACTTACATATGTAGGCCTAAATCGTATAGTATCAGTAAAACAATAATATAGAACAGTAAAAATCAATATAAATACAATCATTATATAATGTAAAGAAGGAGAAAAAACAAAACAAATACAATTTGCTACCAAAAATAAAAAGCTGAAGCTTATCCTATGTCTTAGCTCCCTTATACTTATCTATAAGGAATAGAGAAGGAGAGAAAAAGTCAGAAATGGTTGGGGAAGGGTAAGGAATGCATTTAAAAAAGAAAAAAAGAAAAACTGGACGTAGGTTTTGCTACAATTTGAAACCATTAGCCCTGGGGCATTCTGGTTCCAGACAGTGGCCATGTCCACATGAGCACAGATGTTTGTTTCTCCAGGAACAAGTCTTGTCCCTGGGGAATACCTGTGCCATGCAGCCTCTGGCTTGCAGCAGGTTACCTGGGCTGGGGTGGGGGAGGATGGGGCCAGCAGCTGTGCTGACCCCAGCAGCTTTAACTGGGGTCCTGGGGGCCTCAGGGTGCTGTAGCTGTGATGCTTCTGCAGCTGAGAGCCTGGTCAGGAGTCAGAGCATGGCTCTGGCCAGCCAGGCTCTGGTTTTGGGTGTTGTGTACTACCTCCACATGTGCTGCACCACATTTTTGTCATGTGATTTTTTTGACTCTTGGAGATCCTGCGGTCAACCCTTCCCCGCCCCCGCCCTCCCCCCCTTTACAAGGCAGCAGTGCAGGGAACACCTGCTTGTGCGGTGTGTGGTGCTGCAGACAGGGCTGCGGTGCCACATACCACGTGTCTGCACTTGTCTAGACGTGGCCAGTGGGGCTGTCCTCAGCCAATAGTGACAAGCATCCAGCCCGGTCTGGAGTACAGCACATGCCTCATATTCAAGTTAAGGTACTATACAATTCGGATGCAAAGATGTTCTCCAATATCTATAGAACATCTTTTTTGATTTTTTGCCATTTTATGATACCTTTATTTGGATAAACATGAGGCATGTTATAATTTATGGTGCAGTTAACACATGAATTCTGCCAAAAATGTCATGTCTTCCAGCGGCCTTTGTTAATCAGATTTTTCTAAAGCAGTGTGAGAGCATGGAGGCTTCTGCTTCTGTTGACTGGAAGATGTTTCATTTTAGATACTGTGAATTATTAAAGTGAATTACTCCATTTTGCACATTGTAGAGTTCATATAACTAACATTCATATTTCATATAGACTACCAGACAGTATGTTCTACTTTTAGTTCATAATAAAAACTGCCAAAACTGTTTCTACAAAATTCATGGAACAAGTATTTATCAGTTAAAGCTGTATACAGTCATTGCCCAGCGAGGATTCTATATATCTTCATTTTCTTTTTTTAAACTTTGTGAAATTCAGAAGTGATATCTTTTCATTTCAGAAGTGCCTTCTTCCTTGCAAAATGTTATTTCTTTTTTCCCTTTAATTACAAGAAATGCTTTCTTCCAAACTCAGTTAACTCTAAAATATGCTGTAAAATACATTTAGAGGGACTTGTTAGAGGTACAAATGAACAACTAATGCAAACATTTTTCTTTATGTATTCTCTTTATAGCCACTCTTCAACAACTGATTTCAGACACAATGGTACGCTGGGCCCAGGAGTCGGTAATAGAGGATCCTGAGTTAGTGAGGGCCATGTTTGTTTTGCTGCATCGCCAGTATGATGGTATTGGTGGCCTGGTTCGAACCTTACCAAAGACGTACACCATAAATAGTGTATCAGTAGAAGACACTATCAACCTGTTAGCATCTCTGGGCCAGATCCGTTCTCTGCTCAGTGTCCGAATGGGGAAGGAGGAAGAAAAGCTCATGATTCATGGATTAGGGTAAATCATTGGAGTACCATATCACTAAATTTATAAATCATATTCCCATATTGTTTGTCTTATTGTTATCACCTGGGTTAAACACATTGTTTGAATATGAATATAATATCTGTCTGTGGTTTGCTAAATAACGAAGTTTGGTTTGGGATTTATGGTGTCTTTTGCAGTTTTAAGACCTATACTTTGTCACATTGTTAGCAGATGATAGTAGAAAAGTATGAGCGCCTGTAATATATGAGTTGTTATATCTGGAACAGTGAAACTTAGAAGGTTACTATGGGACAGTAACATGGCACATTCTATTAATTGAGTGATTTCAGGTTGCCTGCACATGCAAATACCCTAGCTATAAGTGAGGATTAACCTAGGAGCCCTAATGCCTAAAAACAGATTTCTTCCACTTGAGCTTACAGGAAACACATTTATCTGTGAGATATTAATAGATTCTCAGCTGCTGGCATCAGGTACCAGGGGAAACCTGATCTTACTCATTAAACCAATGTATTCCGATAATCTTCAAACTGCAGGTACAAATCATGGTTGTTTCTGAATTTGCTAAAAGAGGAAAATGGATTTTCCATTCTGTTTTACTTTGTTGCTTGAATCAGAGGTGGGTTTTTTCCTACCTTTTGCTGAAGCAGCATTGCCTGGACTCCCACCCTGATGCTAATGGTATCATTTTGAGAGGAGAACAAGAGTTTGTCTTGAATCAATCTGAGTAATGCCCCTTGTTTGTCCACCATCAGACCTTGCAACAGATATCATCTACCAAGCACCAGCTTCTATGAGTACTCCTTTTATGTGTATTGGGTATGTGTTACTAATTATTTTTAGGTCCTTGTTAAAAAAAATCCAAGTATTTCCACATGGTGTGTAGTTCTTAGGAAACATTGAAAGCTTTTCTCTCTCAGAAATGCCATTGATAGTAACTTTGAAATGCACTGATCTTTTCGTTGCAACTACTCTTTTAGCAGTGCTCTTGGCTCTGATCCTGCATAGTGCTTCCAAAGAAATATAGCTCAGCTTGCATGATTAAACCTCCAGCATTTGGTCTTTATTATAGAGAATTTTGTAATATTTGGTGGTATTATTTTTTGTTACCATGTACTTTCATGAGCAGAAATCAGCTTTCCTCCAGAGTATGATAGTCAGTGGAGGCTTGAGGGTCAAGAAGTGTTTAAAAATTAATGAGAACATATGCTTACTTAAATCAGGACATCCCTACAGCGATTAACCTGGGTAGAACAACTTCCTCAGTTGAAACTGATGATTTTGTGTGGGACTAATTACACACACATTTTGTTCTTCATAATGAAGTCATTCTTTTGTATATTTATAAGGAATATACATTCCTTATATATTTCTAATCTTTTGAGCCCTCCTAGTATAGTTAACAACGTTTTATTATTTGAACAACAAAGTAGGCCACAAGCATTTCTTCTAATTACATGGGTACATTGTGTAAGAAATAGCCTAAAATACAAGTTGCAAGTTCACATCAAGGAAAGCATCATTAATATTAAATATATTATATAGTAGAGCAAAGTTTTGATATCCTGTATGTGTTCAATGCTGTTGTGCTTTTTATGACCTGACATAACCAATGAGATTAAACGTGAGTTGCAAGCATATCCAGATACATCATTTTATAAATAAATAAACTAAGTATAGGCTTATTTGCAAAATGTCCTGGATAGGAAGGGTAAGAGAAATATTTTGGCACATAATATATTTTAAATTTACCCTTTTATTTTGAGTTTCCTGAAAGTGCAAGCTATTACATGATTTCTACACTTAGAAATACTTCATGGCTCAAGTTGTATAAAGATAATATATTTACATTTTAGAGAATCATGCTGTATAGCACCTATCCTATAGACTACCTCTAGTCCCAAGGTTCTTAGCATGTATGTATGACAACTATTATGTACAGAGGTACCTCAAGGAGCTGGCATATGTCACTTGCAACTTTAGCAAGGGAGAAAGTCCATTACCAGTGAGAAAGTGCGTGTCTGTGTACAAATTCACACACATAGTAATGGGGTATCATGTACACATACAGGGCATGTCTACCCATGAATTTGTGTGCCCTAACTTAATGCGCCTTAGCCTAAGGTGCATTAAGGTGATTTAGGTGCGTGTCTGCATGTGGATACCTTAAGGCACCTTAATGCGGCTCACTTGCATGGAAGCCCTTGCAGCCTACCCTGGACAGCTCCCTGCACAGGTGGGCCCTAACCCCCACTCCCTGTTTCTCCATTTCTGGTGAATGAGACCAAAGCCCACCTCCCAGGGCCACATGCTGCTGCCCAGCGCTGCCAGGAAGAAAAAAGCGGCAGCTGGTGTTGCAGCCCCTAGTGGTCCCCCCATGCCTCTGCTTCAGGGTAATCTTGCTGGTGGGGCAATTCAGCCCTGTAGGGGCAAGATGCCTTGCTGCCCACCCGGGATTCAAGCACCCTTAGAAACCCATGCTGGGGCTGCCACTTGGTAGAGTAGATGGGCTGGAACCGTGTCTGACCCCAGGGCCCAGTGCTGCTTTCTCTGCTGCAACCACCTCCATCCCAGGCAAGCGCTTGGCTTCCCTGCTGGCAGGACACTGCTCATGGGAGAGGTGGCATCAGCTCCTGGGTGCTCTGCTTGGCTCAGCCAAGGCAGTCTGGGACTGCGTCTGCCTCCAGCACCCCAGCACCCAGCACTGCATCTGCCTCCAGCACCCAGGCTTTCCCTGCTCTGCTTGCCTGATCCAAGGCTGAGCCCCTGTCCATGCTGCATCCAGCCTTCCTGGGCTGGGCTAAGTTGAGCCCCCAGGAGTTGATGCTGCCTCTTCCATGGGCAGCATCCCACCAGGAGGGAAGCTGAGCGCTTGCGTGTGATGCAGGTGGCTGGAGAGGAGAAAGTGACGCCACGTGCTGGGCTCAAATGCAATCCCAGCCTGCCTGCTGTACTGGGCAGGAGCTCCAACTTGGGCTTCTAAAGGTGCCTGAATCCTGGTGTCCCACCCCTTCAGGGCTGCATGGCCCAGCCAGCAAACCCACCTCAAGGCAGAGGTGTGGGGGAGCTGTTAGCAGTTGCAACACCAGCCTCTACTTTTTTCTCCCTGGCAGCGCCCAGCAGCAGCACATGGACCCAACAGCTGAGCTCCACTGGCGCAGATGACATAGCATTAAGGGGCTGTACCGTGTCTACACATGGGTTATGGCAACTTAACTAATTGGGCCTAAATTTTATACTTGCTTTATGCAGGTATCAAATGTCACCCTAAGTTGTCATATTTAAGGTGCATTAAGGACAGGCATGTGTAGACCCGTCTTTAAAGTGCCTTAAATATGGAAACTAATACAATGTAAATCACTTTACACATAAACAGGTATAAGTGATCAGAAACTAGTTCAGATCTGTAAAACAAGAGAAGTTCAGTGCACATAAACTGCTTTCAAAATGGCCAAAACTGGTTTAAGATAAACCTGCATGGATGTAGTATTAGACTTCACTGATTTAGATTAAATTGGTTTATTGAACTTCTGTCCCAGATACCCTCCAGATTCAAGTTAACTTGCAGTCCCCCAGCATCCCAGAATGCTTTGCACTTCCCTGCAAATTCATCCCTCACTAAGTGGATGGGCTAGCCTTGACCCAAGCTGTCTGCTTCAGCCAAGCAGGGAGGCATACTCTAGTGCCCCTGGCTTCTGGCATGAGCCACTGTAGGTATGTGGCTGCATTTCCAGAATCAAAATGAATGTCTGTTCACTTGCTTATCAGTTCAATCTGTGCAGTTTAGACTAACCTGTGAAGACTGAATTAATTTAGCTTCAGGCTTTTTGACACTCTGTACTTAGCCTTGGGCACCAGGCAGGCCATCTTGTGAACTGAAGTATATGATTAAAGGTTATATTATGAATTGGTTTGTACTAACAAAATTTAAAATGTTCGCATTTGTTCCAACCCATCTTCAAGGAATTATGAATTCCTAAATCAACTTGTACTTAACCATCCTTCTGACCTGTTCCAGCATTAATCCACTTCAGTTCTCTACCTTTCTGGATAAATAAAGACCTCTCCCACATACTTTGAACTCCATCTAGTTATAACAATCAGATTCTCTTCCTCTTGGGTTTCCCACTGACAGCTGTCTAGCCTCTGCTGGTGAACACTTTTGAGTAGTCTTTGAGTCCACATTTAACTCCTTTCTTACCAATAATTGTTTAGAAATTACATTTAAGCAATATACATCTTGCGATAGTGAATTGTCTCTAATAGATGAAAATATTGGATGCCTTCATTGTTTAAAAGGAGGGTTTTCCTGGATCTTTCAAGTACTCCTTTGCCTAGAATATCAGCCCAAAGTAATGTTTCATAGTTTCATAGTAGCTGGGTCAGGAAGGAACTGAACAGATCATCTAGCCTGACCCCTTGCCACAGGCAGGAATGGATGCTGGGTTCACAAGACCCCAGGCAGGTGATCATCCAACCTCCTCTTGAATTTGCCCAAGGTAGGGGTGAGGACCACTTCCCTGGGAAGTTGGTTCCAGATTTTGGCCACCCTAACTGTAAAATATTGCCTCCTGATCTCTAACCTAAACCTTTTCTCCATCAGCTTATTACCATTGTTCCTCGTCACCCTGGGTGGTGCTGGGGAGAAAAGGGCTCTTCCTATTTGCTGATGATCTCCCCTCATGAGCTTGTATGCAGCCACCAGGTCCCCCCTCAGCCTCCTCTTGCTGAGGCTGAACAGGTTCAGGTCCTTCAGTCTCTCCTCATAGGGCCTGTCCTGCTGCTTTCTCACCAAGCGGATGGCCCTCCTCTGAACCCTCTCCAGGCCGGCCACATGCCTTTTGAAGTGCGGCTCCCAGTACTGGATGCAGTACTTCAATTGCGGCCTGGCCAAAGTCGCATAGAGGGGGAGTATCACCTCTCTGGATTGGCTTGAGATGCACCTTTGGATGCATGACAAGGTATGGCTGGCCTTGCTGACTGCGGTCTGGCATTGGCGGCTCATGTTCATCTTGGAGTCAATAATGAGTCCAAGATCCCTTTCTGCCTCTGCTTTCAAGAGGGGAACTCCCCAGCCTGTATGTACGTTGTGGATTCCTTCTCCCAAGGTGCAGCACCCTGCAGTTGTCTACGTTGAACCCCGTCCTATTCTCATCTGCCCACTTTTGTAGTTTGTCTAATGTTGATGGAAAAAACCTCAGAAGCACAGACAACAATCTCTGTCAGCTCCTCTTACCATGAGCTCTGTAGAGGTATAACTCAATCTTGGTGTCTGCTAGCAGCCTGGTACTGAGGTCCCCAAAATAATATGACATATCAAAAGAAATGGCAAAATATAATGGTTCCACAGGCAGAACCAGATGGGAATCCTCTGCTTCTCTCCACTACCTTTAGAAAAATGTGTGTCAGAGAATTAGGTACCCTCCCAATGTCCAGGTAATAGATCCCTTTTTTATCTAGTTTTTAATCCTTTCCTTGATCTTGATGGCAGTCTTTGCAGACAAATGCCTAAAGGAAAGAAATATAATTGGCATGATAGTTAGGAAACATTTTATGACAAAAGCTGTGTCAAAACCAGTATGTTCCTGCAAATATTGTGGTTTCAATAAATCAACATTTTCCAACCAAACCAAAAAACTGGTTTGAAAAATTCCTGATCAGCAACCATGTAAATTTAATTCTGAAATTTGGAGTTGCACCTTGTGTAAGGAATGCAAAAGTAGGGATTTTCTTCACACAGGTAGATTTGTGGTTATTGTGTGACAGAAAAACAAATGAAATGTTTTTTTTTTTTTAGTGAACAGTACATTATAATCCATTTCTTATTCTGTTTCCCCATAGAGACATCATGAACAATAAAGTGTTTTATCAACATCCTAATCTTATGAGAGCTTTAGGAATGCATGAGACTGTTATGGAAGTGATGGTAAATGTACTTGGAGGAGGAGAATCCAAGGTAAAGGATTTCATTGGTAGAAGACTGGGAATTTAGCATTTAGCCTTTTAAACCTTACTCCTACAAGGTGCTGAGCTTACTGGAGGTGCTAAGAGCCCTCAGTCATGTTCATTTTATTGGAAAAAAATATAATTAAGTTCTACATGGACAGAATTACTGCAGTATACCACCTCAAAAATTTTATATAGCTTCTAATTATTGTCCTTATAGTATTATGGAATAAGATAAGTATGCATATATTCACACTGGCAAAGAATAGCTAATAGCACTTGTAACCTACTATATATTATAGGTATTGATGTCAAGAGACTCTTGTCTGAAAGTTTCCAGTTCTCTCTCTCCCCATTCTCTCTCCCCCTCCTCTCTCTCTCTCACTCCCACCCACTCCCACACCCCCACACCCCCACACCCACTTTCTATTGTTAAAGCAGTAGTTTGATCTGTGCTATGAGATTTAAGGAGGGTATACACTTATTCCAAGCTCTGTTGATTTCAGTGAGGCTTTTGTGGAAAGGTTACTTAGCAGGTTTGGCGTATAATTTAAATTAATGAAGACTAATATGATAAAGGCTTAAGCATATACTGATTTATTTATATATATATATATATATATATATATATATTCATTCTAACAATCTTTTTATTAATCTTTTTTATTATTATGATTTTAAGGAAATCACATTTCCTAAGATGGTGGCAAACTGCTGTCGTTTTCTATGTTATTTTTGCCGCATCAGCAGGCAGAATCAAAAAGCTATGTTTGATCATCTTAGTTATTTGTTGGAAAATAGCAGTGTTGGACTTGGTAAGTAATAATATAAACTGTATCTAAAATGTGTTGTGTATATATAAACCTTGAAAATATTTAATTGATTTAAACTAACATATCCCACTCTCTTCTGCTTCCAGCAATACTTATGTATAAAAAAAGGCTTTCAAAGAAAAGAATCTAACATACCTAGAGTTACTCAATCTTAAGGATTGAGTAAAATTAAAGGTGAATGGTTGAGCTCTACCAATTATGAGGAGATTGAAGTGGCAAAGACCCAAGAGGAGGTAGTGTAGCCAGGAATTTTACTTGTATTTACATAGAAGAAAGGCAGGAAAGTCTGATCCTGAAATGCAGGATTACACTTTGTACCTCAAGTAAGGGCAAGCTCTAATTTATGACTAGCAAGGCAAAATTAAGTGCCTGCAGTTGCCTTTCTTGGGGACCTTTTCAGCTGTCCTTGCCCAGACTGGCTAAGTTCTTCCACCTTGTTCAGGAGGCAGTGCCAAGGCAAGTGCAGATAGAAGGGCATAGTGGTGCTTTCATTCTTGTATGAAGTTGCTTGTAAGTGAATTCTGAATTAAGTTTTTGAAGGATCTGGCTGATGCTGGGTGGAGTTCCTAAACTTTTATATCACTCAGAAATGCAGAGACCCAAGGTTACTGACCTTCTTTATCCTAAAAGGCTTCAAACTAGCTTTTCGTACCTCTTTGAAGGATGACCAAACCACCGGGCACTCTTCATGTCTCCTACTGAAGTTGAGACACTGTGCAGCAAGGAATTTAAGATTCATGAGTCCCAAGGGAAAGCAAGCAAGAATATGCATCTGACTATGGTCCAGTGGTAATGACTTTTGCTTGGGAAAGGAAAGGCTTGGGTTCCAGTTCCTGTTTCTGAGGGGTCCTGCCATTGCCTTTTGTATTACAGTCATTGGCTAAATTTGTAGGGTGTTGAGAGTGGGGAACCAGAAACTGGGTCTCCCCCTGTCTTAGTTGGGTATCTTTGTCACTGGATGACAGAACCTTGTTCTCATGCTTTCTCTGTCTGGCTATGTGACATGCTCTTAGCATGTGAAAGAGTTGCACTTGAAGCTCCTCATGCTGAAGGGCATATAACCTAGATCTTACACTTTCTGGATAGGTAATCCAGCCAACAGTATGAGCTAGTATGGGTACTACCATTTCCTCCTATTCCCCCATCTTTTGTTTCTGAATGGAAGTGGCTGTGGCTGCTGTGTTTTGTGGTTAACAATGCTGCCAGTGTGTTTCCAGTGTGCTTTGAGCATCTCCATCAAATTGGACCCTTCAGGATATGTTTTAATTGTTCCCAAGCATGCTCTGTACACTCACTCCTGCTTGAAACCTTCATATATATATACAAATGAGGTTGCTCTGGGGTCATCCATGTGCAGCCATTCATACAACTTTCATCTCTGGTTTGATAAGGATAACCCTGGAGAAGTTTCATTGGTACATTTTTGTGTCTGGAACAGGTGGGGTGGGACTTTCTCATAAATATTCTGGTCAAGGCAAGCTGCTATTGAAGCATGGATATACCCTGAAAAGACTTAAGTATAGGAGCACCTATGTTGTGAATGCAAATGCAGTTAAGCACAAGGTAGATTTTGAAATGGTCAGTGCAGCCAAGATGACTGTAGTTCTGGACATCTGCAGTAACAGCACTTTAGAGACCTGAGTAAGTTCTTCTGATATAGACTTAGTTGTGTATGGACTCTCAGGTGCCTAAACGTTTAGGTTGTTTTTTGTAGATTGCTTACTTGGACTTAAGTACTTGAATTCTGCCTAAAGTGGTTTTTAGGCTTTTTCGTGTTTTTTTTGGTATGTAATCTAAACTTTCCTTGTTATAATGTTGTTTTAGGACAGAAGCATTGTCACAATTTAATTTTGGAGTACAAATAACCATTTTCCCTTTTCATGAAGTCATAGTACTATGACGACTGCTATACATGACAGGTATCGCACAATGGACTGGTTAATTACACAACTAGCTTGAGACCAGCTACGTGTTCAGAGTATCTATCACACAACATGAAGCTCCAAACAGTTATCAAGGTAGACCTAAAAAATGTGCACTAACTTTATAGCTGGTTGCTACCAAGCTTTAATTTGCACATGTAGCAAGGTCTCACCTGCAGCTGGAAGCCACATCAGATATGGGCTCCCAGCCACAAGGGTGCACCTTGCCCAGCCAGGGCTGTGAGTCTTGCAACTGCTGAGGACTCTTAGCCCCAGGAGCTGTGGACTCTGTCCTGGCAGCAGCCTGCAGCTGCTGGGACCCAGAGTCCCACAGCTATGGTTGCTGGTTCCCTTCAGTGTTCCTCCTGGTGCCGGGACCCAGCAGCTGCAGGGCATGGCTATGATCTCCCCACCCCAGGGGTTCATGAAACCTCTGTGGTGGGGGGATCACCACTGCAGCAAACTCCCCATGCCAGGGGTTCTTGGAATGCCAAGGGCAGGAGGACTGCCTCAGCAGTGATCTCTCAGCCATGGGGAGCACTGGGTGCCTGTGTGGCTGGGAGCTCTTCAGTGATGGGGTTCCTAGCCACAAAGGGCTTGTTTCTTGCCAGTGCAGGGGGTGTCTAGGATTGGGCTCCCTCTGCACTGACAATAAGGCACAATGGGATCTAATATGTGATCCCACAATTGTGCCTTCTGCCATGCATATGTGGCATGGCAGGAGGGGCAATTTTGTGACACATGCATTAGATCCTATTGCACCTTTACTTGCACGTGTAGGGGGGTCTATGAGAACTGTTAAATCTGTACCATATTAATTTAGAAATAATACATTTAACTTCCAGTGTTAAGAACAGAACAAATTACCAAAATTATGATCATAAAACCAAACTTGGGAAGTTGTAAATGAAAAAAAATATTTAAAAAAATATGAGCACATAAAACAAAGCATTGTGTCTGAATGGATATTTGCTACCATAAATGTGTAATGGCTGAACTTCAGCTGCATGCACCTAATTGTTGTTTTAAGTGTTAACTTATTTTAACAGCATCCCCTTCTATGCGAGGATCAACCCCTCTAGATGTTGCAGCAGCATCTGTGATGGATAACAATGAACTTGCACTAGCTCTAAGGGAACCCGATTTGGAAAAGGTTGGTATCCATCTTTTTCTAGTCTTTTGTTGGCAGTGAAAATATAAACAGAGGGGGAAAAAAGGCATTGCCACCACTAGTTAGGACGAGAAAATCTGTATTTTAGAAATGTTGTGCAGGAAGAAAAAGCATGACATGGATGAAGACTGGATATAGGGGTATATAAAGTGTGTTAAGTGAAAGATCCATTTTTGGTACCCTAAGCTTAAATTGATTGCTGGACACCCACAACGAGGTGTCAAACAGACAAACCAAGGGGTTTTTTTGGCCAGGAGACTGGTCAAAATGGAAGAGTAGATCTGTGAGTGGTCAGCGTGAAAAAATGGTTGAAGTTATGTTTTCAAATAAGGATACAATGAAGAAGGACAAGAGGAATCAGTTAAAGAATTTTGATATTTGGGACTTTTGCTGAAGGTTGCAGTAGAATTAGGAACCTCCTGAAGGAATGATTATAAAGGCAGGAGGAAAACAATTGGGAGATGAAACTTCCAGAAATGTATTATGGTTGACAGTATCATGGGTAGCCAAAAGAGAAGGATGAAGATGAAATATTGCTCTTCAGATTTGTCCAAGATAAGACCATGAGAGGTTTTTATAAGGACTGCTTTAGTTTGTGGACTGTATATGAGGAAACTTTCTTCTGAAGTTGTGACTTTCCTCCTTTTAGTATAATTTGTTTTTTCATGTTAACTTATTTTTAGGTAGTTCGCTATCTGGCTGGATGTGGTTTGCAAAGCTGCCCTTTGTTGATTTCTAAGGGCTATCCAGACATTGGATGGAATCCAGTTGAAGGAGAAAGATATCTGGATTTTCTTCGATTTGCTGTTTTTTGCAATGGTACTTTTAGGACACTATCAATTTTATACTTTTCTTAAAACTCTATTAATTATCAATGTTAAATCTGTCATTTAATATGGATACTGGTCCTTTGGCATCCAAACAGGACTCTACTGAAGTTCAAAAGAGTTATCCAAATTGGCCAGCTGCTACAACATTCATGATGTCCTCCATTTTGGCTGTACATTTTTCCCTATGAATCTATGCTAGAAACCCATAGAGAGTGTCCAAGTAGTGAAGGCTCTCTCCCTGCCTTCTTTTGAAGCTGGTGCACCTAGGACTCTCACTTCTAGAAGAAAGCTATAGATACTGGACTAAAGAATGTTATTTTTCACGTGTTTTCTTGCACTTCTGGCTACCAGTGGCCCTACTGTATATCCTAAGGGTTAGACCACTCTCTTGGGAACTGGGAGATGTGGATTAAAATCCCCTGAGGTTGAGCTGATTCTAATAAGTGAGTCTCATATATCCTTGTCAAATGCTGTAATCACTAGGCTACTGGACAAAAGGTGAGTGCCACCACTACATTAGAAGGACAGTGACACATTATGAATCATATCAGTACTGATCATAAGAACGTATTGTCAGACGCAGGGCTAAATTTTTGGAGATTGAATGACTGGAGGCCCTTAATATTCAGCAGGAATCAGTGCCTAAGCTTCTGAGAGATGCAAGACTTTGGACATGTTTTTGTGTTTAGCATTTCCTTTTGCCTACCTCTAGGCACCCTCAATTGTCATTCTACATCTCCTCACTCTTTCTCTGCACCTAAAACTTCATCTCTCTTCAGAGGCACCTCAGTTTCCCCATTGACTGGATAAGGATCCTGGCAACTAACCTGGTCAAACTGAATTGCCCTCCTGGAAAAGGAGCCTAAAACTTAGGTACAGGCAGTCCTCAGACTTATGACACAACTGATTCCTGAAAACCGCGTCTTAAGTCGAAATGTTGTAACTCAGAACCAATTTTGCCATGTTATAAATGTGGGATTGGTTCCTGAATCAAGGCCCGATACCCTATTTTCACCAAAAATAACCGGAATTTTCTACTAAATCAATTATATGAGTAATACAGCTACATTGATGTATTTATATTGTAAATAGTAATCACATTGATTTGGAAGGACTTCTTTGAGGTGACTTTGATGGGCTTTTTGAAGGGATCTTGGCTGCAGGTTTTTCTGGAGTCTTGTCTGCTTTCTTAAAGAAAGTGTCCAAGGAAGTTTGGAAAGATGTTCTCTAGGGAGATGGGTAACGCAGCAAACTTATCTGATGCAATGCCATGCCAGCAAACCAAATGTCATAAAGTTGAAACTGATCTCAGAAATTCAAAATGGTGTCAATTTATAAACTTCATAAGTGCCGTTCATTGTAACTCAAAACATCTTAAGTCGAGGAGTACTTGTATTAGAAAACTAACTGGAGGTGCATACAGACTCAATTTTAAGTTGGCCTAAGCATTTAAAAGCCCCTTTCAAAAGTGACGTGGAGTATTAGTGAGGGGGCCTGGTGCAGGGTGGGTGGACCCGATGATTTTGCAAGGTCCCTTCCAGCCCCTTACAATTCATGAATTGTAGAACCTAATGAATTAGGAACCTGAATCCTGTTGGCTTTCAAATGAATTTTAGGCACCTAAGCACTTTTTAGTCACCTACTAGAAATAGATATTGCCAAATGAAGCAGATCAACTGTGCCAGGAAGAGTCCATATTAATGCGTGAAACATATCAACTGTTGTCCCACCCATTGTACTTGTGGCACAACATATAAGATATTCCCCACTTCTAGAGATGCAGCCTCAGCACTCTTCAGGAACGTTGGAGATTGCCAGGAGCATGTCTTGGCAAGCAGGGGCCCTGACTTTCCCCACTTGCACAGATGCACCCTAGAGATCCCGGGGATGTGTCTCTGGAAGTGGGGAAAGCTGAGATACTGCAGTGCGGCCACCAATCAGTGACTGACAGTACTAGCCTTGGGTCTGCATTAGATTGTCCTGGCTTTCCCCACTTCTGGAGATATGCCCCCGGGATCTCCTTTAGAAGTGCATCTTTATAAGTGGGGAAAGTTGGAGTTCCCCACTTCCAGAGATTAACTCCCTGTAATTTTGGGGGGCTCATCTCTGGAAACTGGGTACCCCAACTTTTCATGCTTCCAGAGACACCCCAGAGATTGCCAGGGCATGTATCTAGAAGCATGGAAAGCCAGGCAGGGGCTTGAGCAGCTGATTCTGTGCAGGAATTTCTGGGGATGCAGGACCAGTCCCCTCAAGCCCAGACAGCGCCTGACCAGGGTGACTGCAGCGTTCAAGCAGGTCTGACTGCCTATGCTTTCCTGACATAAAGCAAATGGATGTCCAAAGCTATAAAGCTACACAGTTTATTAATACCCTTTGTCGCAGACACATTGTGGCACCAAAAACTGTATGGACATCTATTTGCTGTTGCTTTCTGCCACCATAAAAATGTCTGCGGTGGCATGAAGGTGATATCTGTTTCCACTCTTAAATGGTTTCCAAAATTTTACCCATGTGGCAAAATTCAGGGTGGACTAGGGCCAAAACACTATTATTAGGACCATTGAAAGCAGAGGCATAGTGAGCTCATTGCATATTTGAGGTTAAGTTGGGGGTATGCTGACTACTATAGACCGGGGTGGAAGGGAATGATGTTGCTGCTGCAGTAGCAACATCAGCTCGACTCAGGCATCAGGAGCTCTGTGACTGGGGTCCCTGGGAGCTGACCCTGGTGCCCCATTCACTCCTTCCTTTTTCTGCCCCACCTCCCCCAATACATATATATTGGGTGCAGGACTATGCCTGTTCTGGCAAAGGCTCCCACAATTCTGTTCATTCCACTAACCCCCCCCCC